AAAAAGAAATCTCGTAAAAAATTTTCCGTTAAAAAATCTGACTAATTATACTGCTTTGAGACTGACGCGCTAACCATTATGCTACATGGCTCGTGTTGATTTTAGCCATTTAAATCCTGTCTATGATATGACCCTTGGATTAATGGACTTGAAGTATTTCTCCTAAAGATGCGAATGTTTTGTCATAAAGTGTACTTCTAAGGTATATTGTATTTTCGTTCCATGTTTTTGTAAACCAAAAATGTATATTTTATTGCAAACTTTTAGTTTAATCTTAAAAAAAATGGAGCGAAAAATTTTGTTGAAGTATGAGAAAATTATCGTTATTTTTCTTTTTAGTGTTTGTATGCTTTTTCATGGGCAAATATGTTCAGTCTTTATGAAATTTTTGGAAATTGTAGAGATTTTACATGAAGTAAACTTTGATATTAGATGAAATATCGAATAAAATTAAGATATTAAATTGAGATTAAACTTCCACGTCTTATCTGTCGCACTATAGACACTTCGCCCACTTTATCCCCCATCTTATATCCCAACCCCGAACATAAACATCAAAACTCGAAGTTTGACGATCAGTTCAAGATGGATATGGAGTAACGAACAATATTCAATATCAAAGTCCATAAATCAATACAAAAAGGAGCAGGGCAAACATATACCTCCAAATCATTATATGTGGGATCAGGTGCCACGGAAGACTGAGTATCCCCTGCAGACCGGTCACACCCGCTGTGTGCTTCTGTTATGATCGGGAAATAGCGGAAAATTCCATCGTCAATTCAGTGTATGAATGATGGACTGACAATTAGTATGAAAAACGTCAGTCAGCAATTGACTTAATGATAAATTGTATTATCTGACAAGGTCATTATATCTAGACATTTCAGTATGTAATCATTTGTTTTCAGTCATCCAAAGGCTTGATCCGTAGAAAATCCTTTCCATGCACATAGAACCTTTTTTTATTTTCAAAAATATCATCAAATGAATAGTTCTGGTCAGGTTGTTTATGAACTATTGAAATACGTCTCTTCATAGCCAACCCTCGTACAATATGTTACGTTTTAAAATGCAAATATAATGGATATTATCAGTTTTATAAAGTAAATGGTGAGTAATAAAAGGGACATGGACGTAATAATTTTTTTCATGAAACATGAAAACCTTGTTTTTTTATATACCTTTTACATTCACAAGACTAAAAGAACAATTATCCGTTAGTAATTTAAGAAGCAAAGTCTTCTTGATAAAAGTCCGCCCACCTTATTATAAAGATCATGTCAACAAATGAATGATTGTTAAATAATTCATTCAATCGCAGGCATGGATCCAGGATTTTTTCCAGAATTGGGATCCACTCAAGTGAAAAAAAATCCAACCTAGAAGTTTGTTGATAAGCAAATATAAAAAAAAAAAATACCTCATCTCGCGAAAACGTGAAAATTCTATTTCGGGGGGGGGGGGGGGGGTAGTCATTGACTTTCAAATCTTCTTCATGTGTTTGATTTTTCATACCAACTTAAATATATCCAAGTATCTGAGGGGGGAGGTCCAAGGTCACTTTTACTTGGTTTCATAACTCTGCAAATTCCAGGGGGGGGGGGGGCAGACCCCCCGACCCCTCTCTAGATCCACGCATGAATCGTAATTTGCAATGGATTTAGAACCTACATGTATCTCATTGATGACCTTTTGTTGATTTTACATGTCTTAACCACAGTGAGAAATACTGGATCGTCTAAAGATCAATGTACTACATCTAAGCGTAAACTTCATTTCATTGTTTTCCTATGCATGTTTATAGATAACAGCTGATGCCGATGAAAAAAATTGAATCAAAGGTCGAAAACAATTATCATTTGGTTCTAAACTGCATATCATGTTAAGGTATAAATTAATATATTCTGTTTATATAACCCGTTTCAAAAGTTTTTTAAAATCATTTTATAAATCCCTGCATATTCGACAAATTGGTTCTTAACCATCTTTCATTTATGGAATTTTGTTCATACCGGTATCAAAAAAAGGTGATCTGAATAAATTTCTCCGGTAATTGATGTAATGAAACAGAAAATCATAGTGGATTGAAAAGCATGTGAAATCGACCAATCGAATCACTTTATATTTAACCAATCAGTGCTTGATATTGTAACCAATCAGAGTTCGCAAATTTTCAACCAATCATTAGTTATTTGAAACAGTATAAATACAGACACCCATGAAGCAATCAGTTACTTGGTCGTTACTCATTGTTTGAGTAACACCTACTGGACTAGGTTCTTGGGCTGTGTCGGGAAACAACAGAATTGTTAGTTAAACCACTCAGCTCAGGAACCTAGTTCCTTATAGTGTGTCTCAGTGACTATAGTGTCTTGGTGACTTCATTAATATAGTGTCTTAGTGACTTTAACATAAAGGTGTCTCAGTGACTTTTAGGGTGTGTTTTTTAGGTAGTTGCAGACTGTGTCGGGAAACAACAGGATTGTTGGTTAAACCACTCAGTCTGCAACTACAGTGTTATAACTTCATATTTGATTATTTGCTTGATCGTTAGTGATTCAATTGTGGTTGATTCTTTTCTTATAATTCGTTATCGTTAAGTTCATATTTGTTTGCTAATCATTTATCCAGATAGGACAGAGGAAAAAGTATATACGCATAGTGAATTTCAGTCAGTTTCTTGTTATAGTGCCATTGTTGTTGAAGTTTGTTTGATTCATATTATAAACGTGATACTTAGGAAGGAATCCTAAGCGGACCTATCAAATAATTATTTGTACTTTGTAAAAACGTTACAAATTTGGTGGCAGCGGTTTTAGGAATATTACGTTTATATATTTTGTATCATTTGTTGATCTATTATTTGTTTTCATTTTGTGGGCATATTGTAAAACATGGCTGACAAGGACATTACCGACATTGACAAAGAAATAACATTCATAGAGCAAAAGTTACAAGAGTTGAAAAATGACAGTTTAAGCATTCACAATGCTAGTTTAGCCAAGGATACAAGTGCTAATAAAACAAGTACCCCAGATGTTCGATCAGATACGAAATCAAAAGATTCAGGTTTTGCATCAGGGAGATTTTCTGATATAGACTTTCACGGTGATGTTAAACCGAAAAAGCATCCCATAGGAAAAGTTTCTTGGGAAGATGAAATGTTGTTTGGTACAAGTAGTGTTCCTTCCGATGAGGGCAAAAGACCTGGTTATTTAATGGCAACACCAGTCTCTGGAAGTGCAAAAGAGTCAAACATTACTAATCGCCGAAAGGATCGTCGATTTAGTAGACAAGATACAGAGACCGATATCATAACGGCAACAGAGTAGAAACCACAGATCCATATAAAACCTGCAACATTTGATGGTACGGGATCCTGGTTAGATTATCGTTCCCATTTTGATGCATGTGCCATGTTGAACAAGTGGACCGAACTAGAGAAAGGTTTATATTTAGCAGTTTCCTTAAGAGGACAGGCTCAAGGTGTACTGGGGAATTTGCCTAACACACACAAGCATGACTATGTCTTACTTGTGAATGCATTAGAGGAGAGATTTGCACCCTCGAATCAAAATGACTTGTACAGGACCCAGCTGCGAGAACGCCGACAACGAGCAACGGAAACTTTACCAGAACTGGGACAATCCATAAGAAGACTCACAAGCTTGGCATACCCAACGGCGCCAAGAGATGTACAAGAAACGCTGACAAAAGAACAGTTTATTGATGCCCTCCAAGATGCTGACATGAGATTGAGAATAAAACAAGCAAGGCCATTAAATCTCAATGATGCTATTCGACATGCTGTCGAATTGGAAGCATTTGTTAAATCTGATCGTAAAATGTTCGAAAAACAAACCCACTTACGACCAATGCAGTCAGAGAAAACTGAGGGAAACAAGAAAGACAGATCAGATCAGATCAGCACAAGTATATTGGTAGAGCTAAAGGATGAAATAAGAAAACTTCTTAAGGAAGTTAATGACATGAAAACAAAGAATTCCCAGGATGTTGTATACAAAAAGAAAGTTGGAGCTACCAGCAATAGACGCTGCTATTTGTGTGGATCTCCAAATCATTTCCGATATGACTGTCCACAAGGTTATAGAACTCAACAAAACGCAGCAGCACAAAAGAAATACTCATATAATACAAAGAAACATCCTGTACAAAACACATTCAAATGCATCACGTCTTACAAAGCTCAAGTTGGCGTAAACCAGATAGACCCTGAAGCTGGAATGTACGTAAAAACTACCATCCTGGGGATTGAAGCGAATTTGCTTGTTGACACGGGAGCAACACTATCAGTATTGTCCAGTAAAGTCTATGAGGCTATACAAAACAAACCAGTTTTGTACAAAACCAATCAAATAGTCTCTTCTGCATGTGGGACCGACTTAACTGTGAAAGGAAAAACTAGCATCTGCATTAATCTGGGTGAGAGTTTTTATTGTCAAGATGTCATCGTAGCAGATTTTTCTCTCGATGGAGTCATTGGACTTGACTTTATGAAGAAATACAATTGTACGATAGACATAGTTAATGGGTATTTTAAGGTAAACAACAAAGTTTACAAAGTTGATTTCTTTGGCAAAATCGGTTGCTTTAGAATTAACTCGAAAGAGGTGATTGTTGTTCCTGCCAGAAGTGAGATAGTGACTTATTGTAAGGTCTCAATGCCGTAAAAATCCTACGACATGAAAGAAGTTTTAGGTATGATAGAACCATCGGAAAAGTTCCTCAGATCAGGAAAAGCATTAATAGCAAGATCAGTTGGATATGTAAAAGATGGAGAAATACCAGTTCGAATGATGAATCCATCCAATGAACATCAAACAGTGTATCCAGGAACATTTATTGCAAATATGAGTTCAGTTGACAATGTTCTCGAATCGACCTCTACTGTAAATAAGCCATGCAAAGATCTGCCTTCTCATCTGAAGGATCTGTTTGAGAGATCTAAAGTTAATCTAAATGGTGGTGAAATACCTAAATTACAGAAGTTTTTGGCTAGGTATGCAGATATATTTGCGAGGTCAGACAGAGACTTGGGACGTACTTCACTGGTTAAACACACGATTGATACCAGGGATGCACGCCCACTGAAAGAACCTCCTAGAAGAATTCCACATCATTTACAGGATGAAATGAACAAGCAATTAGATGACATGATTGACAGGAAAGTCATAGAGAAATCGAATAGTCCATGGGCATCAGGAGTCGTTTTGGCCAAAAAGAAAGATGGTTCTTTGCGATTTTGTGTGGATTACAGGCGTTTAAATGCAGCTACAGTCAAAGACGCCTACCCACTTCCACGCATCGACGACTCGTTAGACAGTCTTGCCGGAGCAAAGTGGTTCTCAACCCTCGACTTGTGCTCCGGGTATTGGCAAGTTAGCATGGATGACTCAGATAAACTAAAAACGGCATTTGCAACTAAATGTGGTTTATACCATTTCAATGTTATGCCCTTTGGCCTTTGCAATGCCCCGGCAACATTCGAAAGGCTAATGGAAACTGTTCTGGGTGGCTTGCAATGGCAAATATGTTTGGTATACCTAGATGACATCATTGTTATCGGAACATCGTTTACCAATATGTTAGAAAACCTCACACAGGTATTTGATAGACTGTCATCTGCTAACCTGAAACTGAAAGCAAGAAAGTGTCACTTGTTTCATAAGACTGTTGAATTTCTCGGACATGTGGTATCAGAGGAAGGAGTAAGCACAGATCCTTCAAAAATTTCTGCAGTACAAAATTTGTCTGTGCCTACTAATCTAACAGAGGTTAAAAGCTTTTTAGGCCTTTGCAGCTACTACAGACGTTTTATACACAACTTCGCAGCAAAGGCAAAGCCACTGAACAAATTGACTGAGAAGGGATCAAATTTCAAATGGACAGATGATTGTCAAGCATCCTTTGACTCACTTCGACATGCACTTATCTCCGCACCAATTCTTGCCCATTCTGACTTTACACAGTCATTTATTTTGGATACAGATGCTAGCGACGTAGCAATAGGGGCAGTTCTTTCACAGACACAAAATGGAGTAGAAAGAGTAATTGCTTTTGGAAGCAGAACCTTATCAAAAGCCGAACGGAAATATTGCGTTACAAGAAAGGAGCTGTTGGCTGCTGTCTACTTTACGAAGTATTACAAACACTATTTGTATGGCAAACAGTTTTTAGTCAGAACAGATCACAGTTCTTTGAAATGGCTAATGAACAGCAAGAATCCAGAAGGTCAGCTTGCTCGATGGTTTGAATCACTGAGCAATTTTCAAATGACCATTGAACACAGACCAGGGAATAAGCATGCAAATGCAGATGCGCTCAGCCGTTTACCTTGCAGAAAAACATGTTGTACATCTTCTGAAAGTATAGTTAATACCATAAGTAGCGCAACAGCTACGGATAAATTGTCTTTGAAAGCCAAACAAAACGATGACAGAGACATAACTCAACTGATCAAATGGGTTGAAAAAGGTGTAAAGCCAGAGTCATCAGAGATTTCTGGTCATAGCAACTTCTTTAAGTCTCTATGTTCTCAATGGGATGCTCTGGTATTAAAGGATGGAATGCTTTTCCAAAAGAAAAAGCTCGAAAATGACAAAGTTTCTCTGCAAGCTGTTGTACCATATAGTGAAAGACGTACAGTATTAGGACATCTGCACATCTTGGGATAAAGAAGATGTTGGCGAAGATAAAATGCAAATACTATTGGCCAGGATTGCAGAAAGATGTTAAATTGTACATCGCTGGTTGTGAAAAATGCCAAAGGCGAAAATCACCAAATACTACTAAACGTGCCCCGATGCAAGTTGTCACTTGCGGCGCACCAATGGAACGTATTGCTACAGATATATTGGGTGAACTTCCAATGTCCAATAATGGTAACCGATATATACTAGTCGTATCGGATTACTTTACTAAATGGACAGAAAGTTTTCCTATGGCTAATATGGAAGCCGCAACTGTAGCTAAGGTGATAGTGAAAGAAGTCATAGCCCGCTTTGGAGTGCCTGGAACTATTCACTCCGATCAAGGAGTCCAGTTTGAAAGCAATCTTTTTACAGAAATGTGCCGGCTTTTAAATATTAAGAAAACACACACCACCCCGTACCACCCCAATCGGACGGGATGGTTGAAAGATTCAACAAAACTCTGGCTACCATGTTATCAGCATATGTAAATGAGCACCATACGGATTGGGACGAACATCTCCCATACGTAATGATGGCATACAGAGCAGCAGTCCACGAATCAACTGGCGCAACCCCAAACAAAATGATGTTAGGTAGAGAGGTCGCTACACCTCTGGATATCGTATACGAGGTCCATTCTGATATTAAGAGAATTCCACAGAATAGATGGGTTTGGGAGTTACAAGAAAAATTAGAAGAAGCACACGCAGTTGTCAAAGAAATGACAAAAGAGAGTATAGAACGACAGAAGTGGTACGATGATAGATAATTAAACTGGCAGTCATTTAAGCAAGGGGAAAGAGTTTACGTTTACTTCCCAAAACGTAAGACTGGTACATCTCCCAAATTTACATCATATTGGCAAGGACCATTTGAAATTATTGAGAAATGTTCCAATGTTACCTAACATAAGGTAAACTGTGGATACAGGGGGTACAAACCAAGTCATTCATACTGACAGAATAAGGCTAATGAAAGACCAATTCCTAACATCGGAACCTTTGCAGGAAACAAATATTGCAGAAAATACAATGTCTGATTCCTCTGAAGACATTGCTGAAGATGCTGAGGAAACATATGAAAAGGAGTGTTTTCAGGCAGATGGCAAATGAAAGAGGAACAGACCAGCTTACCTAAGTGATTATGTCTCTTTCTGAATATGTAAATAAAAATTAGTTGGGTAGGAAATACTACTGCAGTTTTAAAGTTCAATGTTTTTAACCTTATCATACTTTTATTTACCTATGCGAGGACGCATATTTTTTTCGAAGGCGTGGGTAATGTAATGAAACAGAAAATCATAGTGGATTGAAAAGCATGTGAAATTGACCAATCGAATCACTTTGTATTTAACCAATCAGTGCTTGATATTGTAACCAATCAGAGTTCGCAAATTTTCAACCAATCATTAGTTATTTGAAACAGTATAAATACAGACACCCATGAAGCAATCGGTTACTTGGTCGTTACTCATTGTTTGAGTAACACCTCCTGGACTAGGTTCTTGGGCTGTGTCGGGAAACAACAGAATTGTTAGTTAAACCACTCAGCTCAGGAACCTAGTTCCTTATAGTGTGTCTCAGTGACTATAGTGTCTTGGTGACTTTTAATAAAAGGTGTCTCAGTGACTTTTAGGGTGTGTTTTTAGGTAGTTGCAGACTGTGTCGGGAAACAACAGGATTGTTGGTTAAACCACTCAGTCTGCAACTACAGTGTTATAACTTCATATTTGATTATTTGCTTGATCGTTAGTGATTCAATTGTGGTTGATTCTTGTCTTATAATTCGTTGTCGTTAAGTTCATATTTGTTTGCTAATCATTTATCCAGATAGGACAGAGGAAAAAGTATATACGCATAGTGAATTTCAGTCAGTTTCTTGTTATAGTGCCATTGTTGTTGAAGTTTGTTTGATTCATATTATAAACGTGATACTTAGGAAGGAATCCTAAGCGGACCTATCAAATAATTATTTGTACTTTGTAAAAACGTTACATTGAACTTTTAAAAGACATTATTTTTAATGAATATCTGCAGCATACATCACGTGAATACATATTGTTACATGCATTACTATAAAGAATGAATAATTTGAGTATAATTTCTTATGAAAAAATTTAAAAGACGACAACGAAACCTTTATATTTACGTATTTCGTATATTCGTAGAGCCTTGAACTCGTCAGTTCTTAGTACTTGCACATAACTCGCATGTATGTCATATCCAATTACATGTATATTCAAGTATGTATTAGTATAGAAATTCACAATAAAAGGTACTTTAGACAGTATACAAAATATAAATTTTAGTAATGTTATTTTATTCACAGTAAAAATCATGAGCAATCATACTGATATACAAAAGTTGAAAATGAAAAGAAAAGGCTAAGGAGTATTTTGAAGAAAAAAAAAATCTGACGGAGAGAAGGCCTATTTGAAATAGTTTCCTTTCAAAAGATGTAGTATGTGCAGAAAATACATTTAAGAAAATCTTCATTATAAAAAAGTTATTTTAAAAAGCTCAGTTATTTTTATTATTCTTATATATCCATTCAACATATCAAGCAATAACAGAGAAAATCACATTTATGGATATTTGAAAAATGATTTTTGATAGTTTCCTTTAAAATCACTTGGAAACGAAGATGATGAACAAACTCGGCGTTCACATAAATCCTTTTCACAGAACTGTAGAAGTTCACTCTCTTTTTCACAAATAATTACGAATAGAACTTTCATGATTATTGGAACTTGAAATGAATATAACCCTTCATTTTCATCGACAAAGGTTCTTCTCAGATTATTTAATGCTTGTTGTAAATTCTCTTTCCAATTTGAATTCACATTTTCAAGTCCCGTTAATTTATCAACCATTGCCGTATTCAAATTGCTAAACGTCAACTTTCCACCATGGAGAGCAAGTAAAGAGAGAGCAATAGCTTCCATTTTTCTATCTAAGTTCATTTCATCAAGCATATCT